ATACGCTATGATTGTAACGCTTCTGCCAGGTGGAGCCGGCAGCAATCAGGGCTGAGTTCAATATCTAGGGGTTCCTCTTCAACAATACAACACAGAACAGGCTCAAGCCCCCACCCAGTAACCTGGGAAAATTACACACCTCCCCGGGCGCCTCTGAGAGGCAATACTTCCCCACTCGTAAGCACAGAGTCTGAATGTAGAAAATAAACGTTTAATGAAAGAACGGAAGTCACCAGATGTTAGTTAGGGAAAATGCCACAAGCAGGATTCATAAACATAAAACTGTGAGCAGGACACTCACCCCAGAGTGCGTGGGGCAGTGCCTTCTGCCTCCTGTTCTTGAGTTCTACAACCAAAAGTTCCTTTACTGTGCCCCTCTCAGCTCCCTCACCAGACTCCACTCACAGTGGTTGTCCTTGGTCAGTGAGGACCCAGAGTTCAGAGGTGCAGCTGTGTGAGTTCACCTCCCACCTGGGGAAGAAGGCACTTTGCTTGATCTGCCATTAAGCACTTGCTCTGGCTGGCTGCCCCGCCAGCTGTGGTTCCTCTCTGCCAGCTGCCCTGCCAGCCACTGTGCCGCTCATTGTCTCACCAGCACCGTTCCACTCATTGGTAACCTTCTGCCACCTGCGTCTCTGCTGTGACCTCTGCAGGTCAGTCCCTTGAGATTCCACCCAGCTCCTAGTGATTTTTAGCTCTTAGACTGGGCAGAGACACTGTCCTACCACAAGTGATTGTCAGCTCTTTTAAACACTTAAAATAACAAAAAGACTCCTAACAGAGCCCATATAGCTCTATTTTTGAGCAATGGGGAGGAACAGGTTAAACCAGATGTGAGACTCTTAGGGAGAATCCACATCTCCTGGTTGGGACACCTCTCCCCACCCCTTGTACTTTCACAGGGCTCTGGCATTTGAGCCCCTGGCTTAACGAGGTCCTTTCAGTTGAGGGCGATCCCCTCATTTGGGACAGGTTAAGCACAGTTCTGCTCCCCTTTATTCATACAATAAAGACAACAACATTGATAACAACATTTCACTACCCCTGCATTCAATACTAAAGTGATTTGTAGCGCCAGCCACTTGATCACTTTGAGCGACATCTGCTGGATATCTATGCAGAGTAGGTGTGTTCATGTAAATACAGTTTGTTCCTGAAGTCTCTCTCTCTCCCAGCTAGCTGTTAGGGGAGAATTCATTCAGACCCTGCTTACATCCTCCCCCCACAATTACGAAACATTCTGAACACGCAAATAAAGATGTTAATTTTTTCAAAAGCCATGCTAAGTTATTGAGCGGTCAAAGAGACATGATGAAAAAACAAGTGACTGTGCCATTAAAAGCTCTGAAAGCATCCCTGGAAGTAGCATATTTGATTGCTAAGTCAATGAAGCCGCACACCATTGGTGAGGCATTAGTATTACCAGCTGCGTAAAGATGTCAAATAATGCATGAAGATAGATATGGTGAAACTTTGAAAAATATTCCTTTGTTATAGGATACAGTGAGCCAGTGGATCAATTAACTTTCTGAAGCTATCAAATTGCAACTTTTGACTAGAGTTAAACAAAGCACAAAGTTTGCCATACAACTTGATGAGAGCATTCATATTGTGAATTTGGCTCAGTTCATTGTGTGTGTTAGGTATTGCTATGAGGAGGAAATTCTGGAAGCTTTGCTGTTCTGCAAATGACTTGACAGGCAAACTATGGGAGAAGACATCTTCAGTCTTGTGAATGAATTCTTCAGAGCACATGGCTTGTCAAGGTCTAATTGCATTGGCATGTGTACTGATGGCAGAGCTGTGATGTTGGGTCCCAAGAAGGGCTTCATAGGGAAAGTACTCGGCATTGCTCCCTACGTTAAATTCATGCATTGCATGATACACTGTGAGGCTCTGGCTGTTAAAAAACTAGAACCCGAAGCAAACAAGGTTTTGAATGATGCAGTGCAACTTGTGAATTTTGTAAAAGCCAGACCTTTAAAAAGCCGGCTATTTTCTATTCTGTGCAATTAAATGGGCATCCTTCTGCATGTGGAAGTCAGATGGTTGTCTCAAGGGAAGGTGCTTTGCTGTGTTGTCAGTCTCTCAAGGATGAACTCCATCTCTTCCTGTTGGAACACAACCCTGCACTGGTTCTTGATTCTTTGCTATCTCATAGACATTTCTGAGAACTTAAATCATCTCAACTCTTCACTCCAAGGAAATAACCACATCATCTTGGTGACAAGATTTCTGCATTCCTGAAGAAATTCACTCTGGAGAGAGAAATATGAAGAAGGAAATGCAGACAGTTTGCATCACCTCAGTGAATTCACAGCAGAATTTCAACTTGACCGCAAACAGACTGATGAAGTTGTTTCCAAACACCTGAAAAATCTCCCTTGAGTTATCGGAGAAGTTTCATGGATTGCCAGCCGAGGAGGTGGATTGGATTATAAACCCTTTTTACACAGGTTTTGCAGCTACACATCTCCCTCTTGCGGAACAAGAAATGGAGTCAGAGTTGTCAAGTGATCTCACCCAGTCGATGGAATTCAAAGGAAAAGCTCTGAGAAGCTTTTGGCTCTCTGAAAAAGGAGTATCCAGGACTCTCCGCAATTGCCATGGAAGTGCTCTTGCCATTCACGTCCACATACCTATGTGAGAGTACCTTCGCCAAGCTGGTGGCAATCAAGCCCAAACAGGGCTCACAACTGCAGGTGGATAATGATCTCAGAGTAGCAGTTTCTGAGATAAAGCCGAGAATGGATGTTATTGTCTCAGAAATGCAGGCCCATCCGTTTCACTGAAGAAGGAACAGTTAATATGAGTGGTTACTTTTTTTTTTATTTGAATTTTTTTTAAATACATTTGCAGTTTGTGATACTTTGTGTTTACTACTTCCTAATAACCTTTACCTACTCTTATAAATTTAGTAATAAAAATAAATTTTTAGTTCCTTCCACCAACTTGCAAAAAAACACAATTTCATATTACAGGTAATGGAGGGGAGTCATGACAAATGCTGTGAATGGTAAGGGGGAGCATGACTAGAAAAGTTTGCCCACCACTGTTCCCCTGTAATTATAGGGGAGGAAAAGGGGATTAGTGGGTTACACATTATTGTAATAAACCATAAATCCAGTATCTTTATTAAGACCAGGATTTTTAGTGTCTAGCAAAGTTATGAATTGAAGCCCCTAGGCTTATCTTTTTAAAGTGTTGTGCAGGTTTCCTTTAGGAATGAGGACTGAAAGGTCAGATACAGAGTGATCGTTTCGTGATAAGTGTTCACCCACAGGTGATGTGGTGTTTTTGTCTCTTCCCTGTGTGAGTTAATTCGAGAGCATAGTGATTGTCTGGTTTCACCCACATAGTTGTTGTTGTGGCATTTAGTGCACTGGATGAGATACACCACATGCATGTGTAGGATCTATGGATCTTGAAAGGCATGTTGTGGGGATGTTGAGCATTGTAGCACTAGAGATAAGTCTGCAGGTTTTGCATCCGTTGTTCTGGCAGGTTCTGGTGCCACTTTCAGTTGGTGTGTGGGGAGCTTCCTTCTGATGAGGAGCTTGGTGAGGTTGTCTGAAGGCCAGAAGCGGGGGTTCAGGAAAGATTTCTTTCAGGATGGGGTCCCCACTGAGTATGGATTGTAATTGTTTGATGATATCCTGCATGGGTTCCAGCATGGAGTGGTAAGTTCTAGGCATCCTATTGATTTTGGTGAGAATTGGGAAAACCGGAAAAGCCTGACTTCCAGGAAAATTTTCTGACCAGAGTGGGTGAGTGAGGGAACTGTTCACACTGGGGGTGAGGGCCCGGCAGGGCATATGGCTCAGCTGCAATGAAGCGTGCGATCCTCTAGTTTTACATTATTGTAGCTAAACCCTACCCAGCTAGGAATTTCAATTGCTGCTATGCTGCCTCCTACCACCTCTGAACCTCATAGACATAAGGGACCTCAAACTCAAGCTCCTAGTCCAAAAGCACAGCCTATAACCTAATGAGCCAGAGGAGAACAGTTGTCCTGTCCCTTTCCCTGCCCTTTGTTTTGTTTCCTTGTAGATTGTAAGCAGAGCTGGTTGAAAAACAGCATTTCCATCCTGCAGGAAATTCTGATATTTCAGCATTTGTTTTCATCCCAAATTGGGACAGGGTTGAAATGTTGAAACCTTCCAAAAAACTTTTGATCTGGAAATGTCGAGTTTTGCTGGTTTCAATCCAAACAAAATGTCGATGTTCCTGAATCAAAACATTTCAGTCTGTCAACCTGAAACTCAACATTTTGTTTTGGGTGAACATTATCTCTGAGTCAATCTGCCCTGCTGCAGTGCCTCATGGGAGTTGTAGTACTGGCTCCCGCTGTGACCTCTCTGTGGATGAGCCCATGCAGTGCCTCATGGGAGTTGTAGTCCTGGATCCCTCTGTGATTTTTTTGTGCCTGAGCTGACACAGTGCCTAGGACTTTGACGGACACAAAATGTTTTATTTAGATTTTCTCAACAGAAAATGCCACCAAAAATCTCGCTTTTCCTTTGGAAGACTTAACTGAAATCCCATTTTCCAATAGGCAAATGTTCTGTTCAAAATTTTTCAAACAGTTTAAATGTAAACTCCCCAGGGCAGGGAATGTGTCTTATGTGTTTGGAAAATGGCTAGTGCGTTTTGGGTGCTACTCAACACAAATTACAAATACTGTTGGCAGTGAGCAGTATAGGACCTATGAGACATAGTTGAGCAATTCCAGTTCTATCCAGTAGGGAGCAGTGGTGTATGCACATGCTCACCGGTTCCTTACATTATTCAAAGTATGTTCTTGGATCTTGTTTCCAACTTCAGAGTCCTGCAGTTTCAGTCTGGCAAATGTTGCTTGAGGAATTATCCTGGTGGGATTGGCTAAAAACCCTGGTTTGGTCAATTTCAGCTCTCCCCACTGGGTCCAAGTGCTTCTCCATCCACATAGACATCCTGCATCAGCAACACCTAAACAGTTGTTCCCATTTTCTGTATTTCAGGCCTGGGAAGAGTCTGCTGGGATAGTCTCTTTCCCGAACATTCAATTTTTAGCAAGTGAGGTTTCCAAACTTCTGACCAAAGAAATCAAGAAGAAGCTAAACGGCAAACCTGCAGGTAATAGCCAGAGGGCACATGGCCTGGGATGTGCTCAATCCTGTGTGTTTTGTGATCCAAATTTAACCATGAGCTGTAATGTATTATGCTATGCGTTTAAGGAAAGGTGGGGAAACAGCAATAGAAAATACTAAGTCGGATCTTTAGCTGGTTTAAACTGGCATTGACTTCAATAGAGCGTCACTGATTTACACCAGCTGTGGTCCTGGCCCCATCTGTGCCAAGTTAACTTGCTTTGAACCATTTGCATTCCCTGTTTTCTGATCTACCTGGGGATGATTGTAATAACTCTTAGCATTTTATTTCTTAAATGTTTGTTCTGTCTTAAAAATAAAAACAAAAGATCATGAGCCTTGCATTGCTTTCCCAGTGACCACTGTAAATTCCTTGAACTATTTGGTTGGCAGAGCTTATGAACTATGCTGGCATTGCCAGGGGAGGTTGTAAACTCCACGAACCAACTAATTTGCATTGCCTAACTGCTCACTTGGTGCCCCATCCAAAGCCTATTAAAGTCCTTCCACTGACATCAGTGGGCTTTGGGTCATGCCCTTAGTTAATGTAGCTTTGCTAGTTTCACCCAGTGCACTAAGAGTTGCTCAGTACAATGTTGTCAGCTTCCTTAATGGAACTGAAGTCTACTGTTGTGATGATAGAGGACGCTCGGCTGGCCATGGGGCAGTTGCTGCAGCTGAAAGGGGAAGAGGAAGATGGCTGTGTGCTTCTGAGATCGGTGTACCTCCTCTCACAGATTGACTCGGTAAGAGAAAGCAAAAGTGCACCTTCTCCCTGTAAAGGCCCGGGAGCTAGAGGAGTGAGGCAGCCGCTCCAGTAACAGAACCCCCAGTTTTCAGTAAGTGAATATTGTCTCCAAGGCTTTATCCTTGAGCATTAATGTGCAGAGGTTATACCAAAACGTTACTCCCCAAACATAAAATCAAAGATAAGATGCCCAATGTGGGTTACAAACTGGCCTTCAGTGAAAAGACAGGGGAGTTCTGCCCCACTCTGCCTGACAGGCAGCTGTTTTTGCTCAGTTCCCCTGAATCGGCTTCAGTCCTGCTTTATTATTCCAAGCTATACACCTAGGGGAGACCTGAGCAGGGAACTAGCGATCTGCTGCAGACATGCTTGGAGTCTGCACCCTTTCACCCTGAAGAATCCTAAAGCACTTTGCAAGCTGTCTACATACAGCAGCACTGGAATGCAGCTACCTCTGGAGTGGAGGATGGCAGCAGCACTGCACAACAACAGGGGAGGGAGAAAATCTGGCCCAGGGTTCCATTGCAAAGCCTGTTTCCTATGAAAAGAGCCATGTGACAGTTGATGTCCATGCAGCCCAGACAGGTGTCTTTTCATCCAAATATATGAAATTAAATCTTACACACAGCTGTTAAAGAACATTATCTATGTAACTGAGAGAGGCCCTTTAGACTGATTTATTGGTAGAGGCACGGTGTGATAGTTGCAGTGAGATCTGTGCTCTTCATACAGTTTAAAAGTTTGATATTTCATATAGCACAAGATGTCTTTAAGCTTTGTACACTACCCAACCCCTCCTCTATTTAGCTTGTTTCTGATCACTTCCCTGTAAGCTGAAGCAGCCACACTGTTACTTCCTCATTCCTGCGGTTGATTAGTTAGTACAAGGACTTTCTGGAGAAGGGAGGAAATTAATTCATTAGTGCCAGAAAAGTCAAGTCTCTTGGAAAGGTTGCCTCTTACTTTTAATCATGCTTTTTCTAAAACGTATGTGCAATGACTCAGCAGGTTGCAAACATGCAGTCATCACAGTCCTCTGCTAAACTGCATACATGCTGCTCCTGGCTTAGCATCACAGATCTCAGTTGCTATAGTCTGTTCCCAGTGGCTAAAGATGAGGCAGACACTGATATGAGCTGCTAGTCAGACTGCGGGTTGGATCCCTTGCATGACTCCACTACAGACTTCCTAGTGCAGGACATTTCAGGTGTCTGTATAGGCTCGGAGGAGCCATAAACACAGAACGTGGGACAGCCTAGTCAAGTAGCTTGTAGGAGGTCCAGTCAGGATGCCTGTTGCCCCATAGCAGGTACTGCCCAGCTACATGATCTTGTCACTATGATGCACGCTGTCTAGGACTTTCGAGTGACAGCAGGGATAGGATGCAGGAGTCCCGAGGCTGCTGGGTGAATGGATAGAAACTCAGGGAGAAGTACAACAGTCATTGTGTGTGATGTTTTTTCTATTTAGGGGACACTGTGGAACATCATCAAATCCGGCCTTCCGGTTGCTCTGATGCAGTGCCTGTACCTTTTCTTCACCTTTCCTTTGGGGAAAGCCAGTGATGGAGGGACAAGGGAGGAGGACGAGCAAGTTCAGGAGATGTTTGTTCAGGTAAGGGATCCCCTCTAGTACTCCTTAGTTTTGAGCACTCAGGGACCCTGGAAGAGGAATGGATGCTGGTGCTCATTCAGACTTTGGAATGGAGTTTATCAGTTTATCATGCTAAACCAGACATGTGTGGATTGTGCTGTTCTTTCCAATACTAGCCTGAAACTTTTCTGTCCAAAAGTTTCAGTTTTCCCATGTTTTGAACCAGCTTGAAATGAACATTTTTCTTTCGAATCGACATTTTGACTTAAAATGTCAGTTTGTTTTGTTTTTTAAAAACAATGTGACATTTTAAGTTGAAACAAAAATGTGTTTCTACATATCAGCTCAAAACGAGTCTTCATGCTGATATTTCCCATAGGAAAATCCAAAGTTTTTCATCAGAATTGACCCATTCCCGTGAAAAACGTTGCTTTGGCTGAAGCCACATTTCTCCTTGGGAAATGTGCTGCATGAGAAGTTCTGAGCAGCTCTGTGTCAGAGCCTGCTTGTTAAGTTGCATGAGTTTCCTTAAAAAAAAATGTTTGCACAGTTGTAGTAGCTGTAGTGGTCCTAGGAAATGAGAGAGACAAGGTGGGTGAGGTAATATCTTTAATTGGACCAACTTTTGTTGACGGAAGAGACTGAGACAAGCTTTTGAGCTACTAGAGCTTGTCCCTCTCTTGTCCACCAAGAGAAATTGGTCCAATAACAGCAGGGCCGGATTAAGACCTTTAGAGGCCCTAAGCACTGAAAAGATTATGGTGCCCCCCCATATGTAATTCAAAATAAAAACAATACTATATCATAAAATAAAATTTTATTTTTCAAAATGACACAAAACTTACATGTATGCTGAAATTAAAATAGCTTCTTTCTAGATTTTCTGATTGCAAAATGCTGGATAAGTTCATTGAAGCTGACTCGAGGAAGCAAGTCCACTTCCATACACAATAGGGAAAGTGAATCAAGTCTGTCCTGACACATTGTTGTTCTCTGAGGGTTTTTAATTCTTTTCAGCTGAGAAAAAGAGTGTTCTGCGGAGCAGTTAGTAATCATCAATGTTAGAAAAATACGTAGTGCGATCTCTACATTTGGAAATACACATTGTATTCCGTCTTTCAATATTGTGTCATGAAGATCAATGTGACTGAATTTCATTTTTCCTGTTTCATTAAACTTTGCACGCATATAACAGTGGAACTGCAGTACTTCTCCACAGAGATTCATGTTCAAGTCAACAGGGTATGAGTCAACTAGCTTTTGGGAACCTTGTGAATATTGTTCGTCAGATAAGTCCATATAGTTTAGAGAAGAAAATCTACTTGATACTTCTTTGTACACTTCAACTCTCCTCTTCATATGAGCTTCCAAGTGTATCAATTATAGCGTAGTAAGTAGATACACGACATTTGTCTCTAGGATTCAATGCTGTTTCTGTTGCACTGCTATCATTTGCTTGTTTTTTTCTGATTCACTTGCGGGACTGGGCTTCTTTGTAGTTAGTATGAGGCACGATATTTTTGATATGTCTTCAAATCTTTCAAAATCATTCCTCAAAGTGTGTAAGTGGTCTGCTAATGATTGACAGAGATCTGCACATGTTTTCAAATCCAATTCTTTTTCTTGGAGAGCTTGACTTGTGTGGTAAAAGCGTTGTAAAATTTCATTCCACATGGTCAACATGAATACAAACTCTAGTTTTTGCATCTTGTTTGCAATGTTTTCTGCCCCTCGTATAGTTTCTCCCTTTTGTGATTGGTCTTCAACTATACTTTCTAATGCATCCATATGCCCAAATATGTTTTAAGAACTGCCCATCGGTGTGTTGAGGCAGAGAAAAATGTATAAAGTAACTGGACTGTTGAGAAAAACCTTACTGCCACCGGACAATAATCAACAGCACTGCGGCCAACAAGATTGAGAGAGTGGGCAGCATAGTATGAATATGGCATATTTGTTCTGTTCTAAAAGCTTCTTCTGCATTCCTTAATAACGCCCTGACATGTTGGCAGCATTATCATAAGATTGACCTCTGCACTTTGAGAAATCTATTTTGCAAACTTGGCACAGATAATGCAGTACTTGATTTGCCATTTCTTCACCAGTGTGGCTTTTCAAATTGAGGAATGTTATAAATCGTTCAACTGGTTTTCCATCTGTGGGAGACACATATCTTAGTACAATACTCAATTGATCAATATGTGAAAGATCAGGTGTAGAGTCGACAGATAAACTGAAGTACCCAGCAGTACTTATTTCATCCACAATAGCTGAACGAACTTTGTCACTCATTAGACCAATGAGTTCATCACATATTGTCTTGGATAAGTATGATGGGTTACCTTTGCCAGCATTCCCATATTTTGAGATATGGCCTGCTAAAAAATGGGTCAAACTGAGCCACAAGCTCCAACAATCCCAAGAAATTTCCATTCTGCAATGATCCGAATGTGTCATTTGATCCCCGGAAAGGCAGACAACGTTCAGCTAATGTTTGAATAACAGCTATAACACGCTGCAAGACATGTTGCCTGTATTCATGCTCCCCTTTAATTTGTTCTTCCAATTTTTGTGTCAATCCAAAGCCCTGTCTTCGATTTAAATATGTCAACATTGAATCTCTGTGAGTAGTGCTATTTTCATGTTGTTCAATTAAAACAGTATTCCGCCAGTCACTAAATCCATCTGCAGCAAACCGGGATGTTGAAGGTTTATATGCAAAAAGTTTGCAAACAAAACAGTACACAGACCCTGTTGATGGTGAATACAGTAGCCATTCTCGAGTGTATTTCTCACCATTCGCTTTCATGCCGAAAAATATTTTTTGTGGACAATATCTTGTTTGTTTGCCATTGGTAAAAGTCTGACGTGATTTCTCAAATGGCCCAGGGCGGTGTGGACAGTCATTTGGTCCACAATCTACCCAGTAAGCTACATCATCAGTACTGAAATCAACCCACATACCAGGATCTTTTCTCCTATTATTTATAGCATGAGCAGGTTCAGTCTCTGACACATCCACACCTTCTAGAACAATGTCTGTTTTACCACCAGGAGTAGGATGATCAGTTACAGTCTCTGATTTCCTCGCATTATTTCGATCTACGTTAGTAGGACGCCCCCCTGATTTAGGTGGGGATAAGTAATACAAAGAGAACAGAAAAACAGGGGAAGAGTGTGTAGTGGAGTGTAAGGAAGTCTAACAAAGTTCTGATTTTTCCCATGATGACTACTTCAATGCTTTTTTTGAAATATCAAATATCAAATTAAAAAAAAAATCTCATTTTTTTTGGTGCCCCCTGCTTTGCTGGTGCCCTAAGCACGTGCTTAGTCTGCCTATTGCGTAATCCAGCCCTGAATAACAGATATTACCTCACCCATCTTGTCTTTCATTTCCTGAAAAAGGGTACTGTTTTAGTCTCGTTTAGATTTGCTTTTGACTGCAGTGATATAAGTGTACTGTTGGCTGTCCCAGAACTCAGCAGGCTGCACGGCTGTACCGTGAAACCCATGGGAACCATATTCTAGGCTAGGGGTGGGCAAACTTTTTGGCCCAAGGTCCACATTGGGGTTGCAAAACTGTATGGAGGGCTGGGTAGGGAAGACTGTGCCTCCCCAAACAGCCTGGCCCCCGCCCCCTATCCGACGCCTCCCACTTCCCGCCCCCTGACTGCCCGCCTCAGAACTCCTGACCCATCCAACCCCTCCTGCTCTTTGTCCCCTAACCGCCCCCTCCTGGGACCCCCCCCCGCCCCTAACCACCCCCAGGACCCCACCCCCTATCCAACCTCCCTGCTTCCAGTCCCCTGACTGCTTTGACCCCTATCCACACCTCCGCCCCTTGACAGGCCCCCCGGGACCCC